TTGGGAAAGAAGGAAAATTTCACACAGGATCATCCGAGTGCTATGAAACAACCTATCCCCAGCTTCCAAAGAGAATACTACTGATCGGCCACCAGTGGGATAAGTATCTCAGAGTAACGGGGACACGGAGAAAGGGGAAAAAGGGGAGACAGAACCATCATTTATTGAGAAACTACCTGCAAACAGAACTCCATGCTACCATTGTCTACTTTGTGAACCTATTTCCCGTTAGATGGTGAAGTCAGAGAGCTAGCTTATTCGATATCATGTGTCTCAGTTTCCTGGGACTATATGCCATTTAGCTCATCGTTACAGGACTTAAGGAGTAGTATGTACAAAGTAAACCTTAGACAAATGTTGGCTAGGAATCACCATTACTATAATTATCATTTGTATTCCACAGCCCCAATTCGGAGCCTAGCACTGAGTGTGGCATTCATGAGAAGTCCAGTCAAATGTTCCTGTTACGGTTCACATTGACCGGGCACTTACTACAGTCCAGCCCCTGTGGTATGCATGGCCACATGCACCATCTCATATTGACCTACCACCAGTCTCTCTGTTTAGATGAGAAGAGCAAAGCATGGGATGGTAACTGGCAAAATACGTGCAACAGAGATATTAGGAACATAAAGGAGATCCAAGCCCTGGCTTTCTGTTTCCAGGGTCTAATGCAGCTCACCATTTCCCTGGATTGGTGAAAGCAGAGAGGGCAGGCAGCCCCCACTGGTCCTCTACTCCTGGGTTCCTGTGGCCCAGTCTGAGCCACCACCATGTCCACGATTCACACCCTAATACCTGAGGCTCCAACATCCTCCCGGGGAAACACGAAGGCTAGAAACCTGCCTGAGTTGCTCTCTTATAATCAACTGAGGCTCAGAGAACGTGTGCAATTTGTCACAAAGTGGAAGAGCCAGAACGCCAACGCCCTGGAACCTTACTTTCCCAAACTCACAGCTTCCCGATGTGTTTTCCCTTTGGTTGTGCAGACACCATAATACTGACAAATGTTCATATTAAGACTCAACTCTTGGGTGAACTATGGTCATAACTATTGCCATGCAGGATGGATAGCGATAATCCTCTTGTTTGGAGAAGTCACTCATTTAATTCAATACAGCTGGAATTGTGTGAGGTTCCCTGAGAAAGTAACCTGAACTTGACCCTCTCCTTTTGAAATTCCCATACTGCAGAGCTGTTTTTCAGGATAAACAGGGCATTTGACTTGGCTCAGCCAGCTATAATTCAGCTTAAAAACTGGAGAAACTCCTGAGTGCTAAGGCTGGTATTCAAAACACATGTTTAACTGGTGGAATTTAAACAAGGCTCCACGGCCTCATTTTGTTACGGACAATGCATAGTTTTTCATCCAATAGCCGTGGGCCTGGCTTACCTTTTGGCCCCACACAACAACCGATTTTCACAACTATATAAACTGCAAATCATAACCCCCCACTTTGGAAATGCAGACTTACTGCAGACATTCTCCTTTCTCCTCCAGCCATTTCCGACTCAAGGAAGATGGGATCATCAAACATGCTTTCTCCAGCACGTTCCAAACCTCAGGCCTGCCAAGGGTCCACCCTGCTCTTTAGCACATGTCTTTACGCTTGTTCACGATTTAATCTACATTCTGGCAGCATTGTTGGGTTGACATGGGTTTCTTGTGGAGAGAGAGAGGCATTCTTTCTAATTTGCCACATGTCCTCCGGGGCTCTGTCCCGCTTTGCTCCCTGCCTCCTCCCTGCACTGTCACTTGGCATGTTCCCAAGAAAATGTCAATAACTTTGACTCCATCTATATATATAAAAGGCTAAGTAACTGTCTGTCCAACTGGCTGACCAACCAACTGACTGGCTGGTACATATGATGCACACTGGCAATCTACACTAATAAAAGAGAAACATGGTAATTGGCGTACGACGCTACCCTTTTCATTGGCTAATCAGGGCTATATGCAAATTAACTGCCAACTCAGATGGCAGTTAGCTGCCAACAAAGATGGCGGTTAATTTGCATATATAGGCACAATGCAGGGAGGCAAAAGGGAAAGCAGGAAGAA